GTCATGCTTTACCTTCAAGTAGTTGCATATTTGAAATAGGCGATATTGTTAAAAGGAGCTCTTTAGCCGGCTTCATTTTATTTTTACTACATTTTCAAAATAATGCGTACCTAAGCACCGCCTATGTTCTGCGGATGAGGATTTAGTTTACCTCATTATAGCTTATTATCGAATCATCATCGAGAGGTATCACTTATGTATACTCAGCCTCACCTTCATTAACATCATCAATCAAAATTGGTTGCTTGCTTACATAATTTGAGTCTTTTGGTCATTTGGATGTAAGGATATGAAATTGATTTATTTGCATATCTAAAATAATCCTAAGTTCGCTTGTTATAAATTATTTCATTGGAATTATACTTATTATTAACTCTTGAGATTTGAATCATTAATTTTTTTTTCGGTTAGCCCTACTCCGAGGCACTATTGTATACCTTAAGCTAAGATCTGGAGCCCAAGATTTTGACTTTTATCATGATCACTATCCTTTCGTTGTAATGAAGTCTTTTGACCTCGTATTCGCAACTTGGTCGTATTGTCACTGCGATCTAGATTAACGCAATTCGTTCGGAGTCCTTTACCACAGTGTCTAGGATAATTCTTCTCGTCGGACCGTGGACTTAATACATTCCTAGAAGTTTATCAAGCATCGTCAGTGATCCTTGCTAGTCTTAACACCACACTACAATAAACCAGAGACAAATGAAGTTTATCCCTTGATAAACTGTCTACTGAACAGTTCTCGCTTCTCTCCGGATACGTCACCTCTCCTATATTCTGGTATCACCTCTTTCACTATCACAATTTCAAGCTTATTTCATCCTAGATATAAATACCAAAATGGCGTGGCACAGTCTCTTTTAGCTTTATAGTGTTGGTTTGACCTGGTTTTCGCAACTTGGCCGAAGCGTCATTGAGACCTTGTGGAACTTACATAGACCTGCGTTCTCTGCCATAATATTCATGATTTCCAGCATCGAACCGTTGACTTAGTAAATTCCCAGATGTTTCGCCGGCATCGCCGGTGAGATGTTAATTTTAATTTAATCCATGTGTGTCCTGTTGAGCGCATTTAGCCCAGTCTATTCACACTACCAGCTTATTCTCCTATTAAACATACACTGCCGAAAGTGTTAATCTAAATTTGTCCTTTTAGTCTACAATTAGCTTGATGTCTTATCACTAACTCTCTTGATCTTTATGATAATGTTCTTATTTTCCTGGTTCATTGATTCCACTCAATGTGACAATATCCGTCTTATTCGAGGCGTTATTTCTGACATTCCGCCTCTGATAACACCTATACTCCAGCCTCAGAGCAGGCCCCCAAATCACGTCTATGGTAAAACTCGTGTACTGTTTACGTCGCATTTATTCCGCTTATATCCATATTATCAGCTGTCTGGCTCCTTTTCCTTACCTTCTTATGTGCTAACCCCCAAATATTTTATTTGTTTACTTGCTTGATTAGGTTCACAGCAGACATCTGATTTTCTTTGTCAATCGGTGGCCTCCTTGCTATTCCTTTTCGTCATGTTCAACATACTTAGTCTAGTCGTCCTCTTTTTTCTTGATCCCCTCCGAGTTTTCTTAAGCATTATTAAAAGTCTTCGTGATATACAGAAAATCTTACTATCACCTTCCTGCCAATTTCGTGTCCCGTCCTTGTAATGTGTTTTGCTATTTCGCATCTTTTTGTATCTATATTTCTGCCTAGCCTTTGATGTTCCTTTATTCCTAGGCATATGATAGGTAAAAGCATCAGGATAAAAGAATATATACTACAACTGTTCAGCAAATAGTTGGTAAAATTGATCAAATTCACTTGCCTCTGACGCGAAGCGCGGTTCTAAGAGTGACTCACTGATGCTGCCGGCGAAAGGTATGGGGATGTACGGTCCGACGCCACAAATTATTATGGGTACTATGGCAGAGGACTCAATACAAGGTGCTTTCATCTAGGTCGCCCTGACAATACGGCCAAGTTGCTAAAACGAGGTCCGTCCACGATTGTTTAGTTTTACCGAACCTTTTTTATGATTGTTAGATGCCGATTGGCAGCAGTTTGTTCAAGATGCGCCTACTACTGATGAGGCAACCAGGCGGCTAGCCATTTTACATTTCGATTGGGACAATAGCCGTGTCGAGGACATTTACTCTGTTCTCGAATCTTTTCTTCCTCCAGGAGGTGTTATCGACAAAGTAACGGTAAGAATATTCTACTTATTGACCTAGATAACTCAAAGGTTATAGCCGTTTTATTTACTTTTCAATAATGACTTCTTAAGATCAGATTCATACGGTTATGTATTAAATATTTTTAACACATGAATTTTACTATTAACTCAGCTTCTTTCACACTTTATTAGTACGAGTTTTCAACTATTATAATATTATTGGAGAGACTTTCATTTAGTATGAAAGTGCATAAAGAAGAGATTCGAAGGTCGATTTCACCAGAAGAGGACGGCTGATTCACGTTGTACTGCAGCTGTTTGGCTTTACTACGGCATTCAGGTTGGCGCAGTCCACGAGACATCCTCTCTCGTTTTGGGTGAAAACGGGCTAAGCTTTCGTCCATCTTATGTGACGGCATTAGAGGAAAATTAGGACATGAGAAAAGGTCTTAGCTTGTCTATCCTTGATTAAATAGTATCTGTCTGAAAGTGTATTCTCCAGTAAAAAAATATTATTCTTAATTATGCATAAAGGATAATTGTTTTCCAGGAATAAATTTTTTAGCCGTTCTAAATCCTTAGTCAAATGGTTGCTCTCTATTTGCTTCATACGCCTAATAATTATTG